AACCACTAGTGTCTGTATGTGTGCTAGTAAAGAAAAAACATTTCTGCCGGTGGCGACTGCATTGACACACGCACAAGGGAAAAGAAGAGAGCTAGAAGCTGCTGCTGCTGCTTCAACTGAAAGCCAATTACAGCCCAAGCAGTGTGCGTGTGGGCTTGTTTGACAATCTCACAACGGAAAAAGTGCCATTTATTCCACTGAGAGTTAACACCAATATATTTTTGCTGTTTGACACTTTTCCATCAAAACTGCAGCTTCTTCTTGACTTCCGAATTCTCCTGCAATCAGAGTCACTGCACTGCTATGCCGCTGAGGATGCCGCTGCTGTTGATGCCACTGCATTTCACTGCAATCCGGATGTTCTAAAAAGGGATGCAATCGCACCGGTTTAGTGCGTCAGTGGTAAACTACTTTTACCGACAATCACCGTCAACAGAAGGACGGTGTAAACAAGCACGAGTCAGATGATGACTAAAGTGACCCAGTGGTGTGCCTATTTGTGCTGGTACGAGCTTTAAACCCAAATGCACCACCAGCAGCCATGAGCAAACTAATTTAGCCAAAGTGGAAAAAGTGAATCACTTTTGCTGTTTTTTATTTTGCTTTTATTTTCTTGTTTTCAGAACAGTATACACACACTCTTTACCTACCCTGCCATTGTTTGGAGTGCACGTTTTTTTCTGGTTTTTTTCTTTCTGTCAGTCTCACTTTCACTTTGTTGCCTCTCTTGTTCTTCTTCGGCATTGTTTACCAATCATCTGATTGCTGTGCTCAGTTTCATGAGATGGTGTTGTGCCAGTGCAAGTCCTGTTTGTGTGATGGTGCTGCTGTTGTAGTAAAAAATTTTACTTTAGCAGTTTCAATTGTTCTCAGTGAAGGTTCTATGTTTTACACGGCACCAGGCATTCACTGCTTTTTATGCTCAGTTCCTGTTTGTTCTGACCAATTCAGTTGCGCAACATCTACTCGTTTTTCAGCTTTTTTCACTCCTTTTCTCAGCCTCCATTTTCTTTCATTTATTCGACAATGTATAAAGGTGCACGGTACTGCTGTGGTGTGCCTGCCTGCACTACACATTCACATCGCCGATTGTCGTTGACTTTGGTGTACCCACCGTTTGTTGGACACACACATTTAAAGGCGCCAAACAGTTCAGACAGCAATCGCCATCACTTTGAATTACCAGCACTAGTGTAAATTCAAGTTGTGTGTGCTGATTTCCAGTACCATGTTCAAAGTCTCAAACATTTACTGGCAAGTTGAAATGTTTCCAGGCAAAGCGTCTTATTTATTTCCCCCTAAACATGCTGGGCGCTACCATTGCTGTTGTTATTTTCAATTTCGATTCGGACTGAGAGGGAGAAAGGGAGCATGTGAAGCCGATTTTAATGAAAGCCAATGAGAAGTCGATCGGGCAAGCGAACACGCAGAATGACGATTGATCTTTGCAGTACGTGATTTGTAATTCCTATTTCACTCGCTGGTATTACAGGCAAATCTCACACTGTCAATAAAAACTGTCCTGCGGTGTTTTTTGACAGATGCGAACGGGCCGCAAAAACGCTCACTGTGGTGCATGGTGGCGCTGTCCGCGTTGACAGTTGCTGGCGTTTTGACAGTGTGAGTTTTGCCTGTAGTTCATTTAAATTTTTCGTTTTGTATTTTCTCTTTTTCTTCTTTCTTGTATCGGTGCAGTGCAGTGCCAATTCACACGTCGACATTCGTGGGCAATTTTCAGGCGTCTGTAAAACTGCAAAACTGGTCAAAGAGCAGCAGCAGCAGCTTTTCATTCGGCTCGTTAAAATATGCAAGCACATACACTGGAGGAGGAGGAGGGTAAACAATGGTGGTGAAGGAGAAGCATTAGCGAGGGGCAGTGGCGAGCTGCAATAACGATAACAAATGATTGCATCTGCCGCCGTCGTAGTGAACTGCAGTTCAGTGTCTGGTGCACGGCAGCGGCCACTAAGCTGCCGCGCCGCACACCAGCGCCCAAGCCCGGCTACTTCTGCTGCTCAATTTCCCAATTTACTGAAAACCCTCTTTTTTGCTTTTTTGTAGTTGTGCCCCTGTGTTTTCAGTGCAAATGGCTTCGACTTGATTTGTCGAGCTAATCGCCAATTTAATTTCCCTTTTCTAGTGTGGGAGAACAAAGCTTTTGCTTTTCCTTCTGCCTCCAGCTCAGTTCCTGTACTGTACAGTGTGTATAGTGTGTGTACAATGGCCTCAATGGATTACAAGAGGCAACAACACACGCACACACAAACACACACACACTGAAAAAGTCAGCAACAACAGCAGTAGCAGAAGAAGAGTGACGTTAGTGACAGACGATTGGCATAAATCTGCGATCAGGCTGCCGCTGGGCGGTTGATAGGACACTGCCACTGTCTGGGCAATTGTCATTGTCGGACAGTAGTGTGGTGAGCAGTGAGTGAGTGTGTATGAGCTGGCAAGAGGGAATCACATGGGACTCGCCCAGTGACGCTAATCTCGCTGGTGCCGGCAGCGAGACTTCCTAGAACAGTCCCCATCATCATCATCATCTGCAGCAACAGCAGCAGTCATTCTGTGGCCATTGTTTGCACATCGCTCTCGATTACCCCGATTGCCGGCAAAGATGGGCATGAGGCTGGGAAAGGGAAGGAGAAAATGAGAAAGACGATTATGAGAAGCAGATCGACAGAGTCCGGGCACTTTCCAGCAGCATCAGCAACAGCACTCAACACTGCCACCAGCAATCGGTGATAAACTGCTGGCAACTTTATTTTCATTTCCATTTTATCAGTACATCGACTGTGCACACACACACTCACTTTTGGCAATCCATTTCTTTTTCCTTTGTCACCACCACCACCACCACTCCTGCTCTCTGCCATTCGGTCGCCACTCTATTCAACTTGAACACTCGGAGCAATACACTTCACTTTGGCTGCTGCAGCAGAATTGGATTATTGGCACATATTACGCTTTTAAAAGTATCTCTCGTATTTATTTTGTGTTTGTTTTGCCCTTTTCCTTTCAGCAAAACGGCTGAGACTTGGGCGATCTAATCTTCGATCCTACTCCTTCTCCATCACCACCAGCCAGTGTTGCCCTCTAATCAATTCGACAGCAGAGAGTCCGTGCTCAGTAGGGCACTTTGTGGATGTGGCGGAGGTTGTGGCTGCCATTCCTTAGAGGCAACCGAGCAGAAGTGATACTGCAGCACTTTTTCAGCTGCCTCTTTTTCAGTCTACCCCTCTGCAAAAGAGTTGTGGTAAGCAAAGGGGAATGCAAAGAAAAAGAGAGAGGTGGTGATGCACTGCTGCAGATGAGCCTGCAGATAAGCTCACTTGCTCACGATGATTTTCTCTGCCTGCGCCTGCTAAACTGCCGCCACAAGTGCGGTTTTAGAATGTGGCGTTAATTTGCAAATGTGGCAGAAAAGGGAAAAGGCAAGGTTAGTTTGCTCAAGGAGAGCGCTGAAATGACTCATCTGCACTTTTTTCCCAGTGGAGATGAGTTAGTTCTCTGTCGGTGAAGTTGCTCTCAGTGCCGGTTTTGGCTCCTTTGGTTAGCCATCTGCCGCGAGTTGTCTGCATTTGCGAGTGTTTGTGCATCTTCTAAAGCACTAGGGCACTCTTCTTACGTGCTGTTTAAAATTATTAATACATCATCTGCCCCTTTCCTTTCAATAGTCCACCAATCCATAAATTGCAATTATGATAATTAAATTAGACTCCCTGCCGTTTGGACTTTTTCTCTTTTTGGCTTCATTCTGGGCAGATACACCAAAGCGCACTGGGCACTTTGCGTGCCGCACCAAGTTCAATTTGAAGGAAATTAAATTTTCACTCTTTCGTTGTGAGACCATTTGAGGTTACTAGTACACAAACATTTCACTGCCATCAGAGATATATGCCAGAGATTAAAAATAGTAAAACAAAATAGTACAAAAATGCGACTGAATTGCATGCCATTTAAATGCATTTCATGTCTTTGTATTAAACATTTTTTGCCTGCAGACTTTTCAATTTTTAACTGTTATATCGAGTGTTTCTTCTGTTCGATTGCCGCTACCGCTCACTTTTTTTGCTGCACATCCGTTTTTTGTAAATAATTAAATGTATGCTTGCCACAGGCAAACGTTTCTATCTGTTTCAACCTTTTCAAACTACTCAATGTTATCGTATCCTTTACGCACACACCCGTTTACNTGCTGCACATCCGTTTTTTGTAAATAATTAAATGTATGCTTGCCACAGGCAAACGTTTCTATCTGTCTCAACTTTTTCAAACTACTCAATGTTATCGTATCCTTTACGCACACACCCGTTTACGCAGAGAATACTCAAAATGTCAAACATTATAAATTCCACAAAGTAATTGTTTTATATAATGTCCTCTATTTATAGTTGTATTGTGACATTTATGCTTCTGGAACATAGTTGATGCAATTTGTGCAGTTCAATTTATTACATTATTTACTCTACAAATGTAAATGTAAATACCTCGCAGTAGTATTCTTACAAGTTCTTTTGTCTTTCTCGACAACAACTGCTTTGGCCGGCTTCTACTTTTGTTCTCATCTCTGGTATTTTGGCCAGTTATATAGCATGTCTTTCAGTCAGTGATGTGTCGGCGATAATGTGTATACATTCCAATGAATTAAATGATACTAATTCAATCATAGTAATAAATATAAGCAAATTGATATTTGAAATGTGCTTCTGCACATCAGTGCAATGCAGAAAATATTTTTGAAAGCGCCGCCACGACCGTCCGCAGAGAGCGTGACGCAGAGCACGTGGAAAAGCAGCTGCTCAGAGCGCAGCTGCTCAGAGCGCAGCTGCTGTTCCCGCTCTGTTGTCATGCTGGCTGCCGGCGTGCTCTCCTGTTTTCATCACATNGCTCCCGCTCTGTTGTCATGCTGGCTGCCGGCGTGCTCTCCTGTTTTCATCACATTTTCTCGTGTTTTGCTCCTTTTTTCGACCACTTTTCACATCAGCATCATCAAAATGAAGACCATCTCTGATCGCGGACTGATCAATAAGATCAAGAAGGCGAAAACCAGCAAGGGAAAGCGTTTTTTGGAGAAGCGAGAGCCACAGCTCGTTGAGGAGATTAAAAAAGCAGTCTTTTGCCGAAGTTCAACGGCAAATCAAAGTGGAGTACAGCTGCTGAAAGACATTCAAAAGCTAAAGAAACCAAATGCCACGTATCTGAATCGAAAGGAAAGCTGGCAACCATTTGAAAACGCAACTGACCTTGAGTTTGTGACCCGAAAAAATGATTGTGCCCTCTTCGCTTACGCATCACACTCAAAGAAACGACCAAACAATTTAATTCTTGGTCGTACGCACAACGGACAAATTCTTGATATGGTGGAATTTGGATTCGAAAACTTCAAAGCACTTTCTGAGTTTCAAGTTGAAAAGATTTCCTCTGAAACCAAACCGATCCTCCTCTTTAGCGGTGAGCTGTTCGACAATCAACCTGATTTTCAGCGGATAAAATCACTTCTTTTGGACTTTTTCGTCGGCCCAAATATAGATCAAGTAAACCTCACCGGTATTGAGCATGTAATACAATTTGTGGAGGTCGATCGTGTCATTCATATGCGAAGCTATCGAATTTTTCTCAAAAAGTCTGGTGTTAAGTTACCTCGAGTTGAGCTGCAAGAAATTGGACCTCGCGTAGACCTGACGCTGCGGCGAAGCAATCTGGCTTCGATTGATCTGTTCAAGAAGACGCTGAAACAGCCTGACCAGGTTTTGAAGCAGGTCGGAAAGATGAAGAAGCCAGAGGAGAAGAACATCAGCAAGGACGTTTTCGGTACGAAGCTGGGACGCATTCACATGGAACGACAGGACTACGGCAGGCTGCGACTGCGAAAGGGTGGCGCATTCAAGGCGAAGGCTGCCAATTGATAGTGCTTCATTGGAGACTGCTTGCAGATTTTTTGTGTGTTTGTTTGGACTGTTTTCTCTCTTTTTATGTTGTCTGCTCACATTCATGTACTCGCTCCCTCTTTCATTTTTGAACGTATCGTATAAAGCGCAATATACAAACACACATCAAGCTGCGTTTCAATTGCTGCCCTTGCCACTTCTGTGCACTGTTCAGAGGGATCTTTTTTTATTTTTTATTTATTATTTATTTGCAAGTTGAATATAATTTAATTATTCGCTTGGTGAACACGATCAAATTGGAAATTAAAGACCGCCTCTGCGAGAGAGCACACATCGAAGCGGCAGAAGCAGCGGCAGCTTGTGATAATGCGTCTCGATGATGGCAAATGGAGCAGGCAAATCCATTAGAATTGAATGAAGCATCCACCAGATGAAGGATTTCCAGTGCTGATGCTGCTGGCTCACTGCGGCTCACTTCAGCAGCAGCAGTAAAGTCTGCCTCCATCATCCACTCTGCCTGGTCTCTTCCAATGGTCCGGTAATAGATGGGCCACAGTCTGTCGTGGCATCGGCATCAGCAGCATCATCATCAGCTCCTCCACCACCAGCACCAGCACCACCACACTGGCAATGATTAATCTGCTTACATAATGGCCCGATGGAATGTGTACTCTGTGGAAATTAGCTTTAAAACGGCCTAAGAGAGAATTATCCCTTACTGCTGTTCATCCTCGTCCAATGAAGTGCTGTCTGCCTGCTTCCCTTTCTTCTCTTCCATTTGCGCTCACTTGTGTGTGTTTGTCTTTCAAGTCTGCACACATTGCCTGCCTGCCTGGTCCCCACTAATGAAGGGAAGTCATTTGGTGGCTGAGAGTGCGAGTAGTTCTTCAGTACTGCAGTCGAATCATCATCTGCTCCTCTGCCGCCACTCTGCCAAACTCGAACACAGATAAATGTGCACAGTCTGACTTGGCAGCCCAGGAATGGGGCGACAATTATACCATTTTGTCAGTGCAGTTGCTCCCTGGCGATTATTAATGGTTATTTGCTGGTGCCGAGAGAAAGAGAAAGAGAGCCACCAAGAAAGTTGTGCCGCCAACTTCTGCGCCAAGTCGAGCACTGCCTTGACTGTCTCCGCTACTAAATGGCATTGTCCCATTCGGTCGTCGCTGCATCGGCACTTTATGTCGCTGTCGAATGCCATTACGCCCAACGTGCTCCGGCAAAGGTGTTGTTCGTTGGGGCAATCCTAATTAGCACTAATTGGTCAGTCAATTGCTCACTCACTACAAGGTTTCTTTTACCTATTCTTCTACCTCATTCTGCCGGGGTACAAGGAGTGCCAAGGAGAGGTAGTCAATTAGGTATCAGTACACCGTAAAAGGTGCTCTTTAGTGGCTCACCAAGTGGCACATCGGCGTTTCAATTGTGTCACCACTATCACCATTTTCACCTAAATTGAGCCGTTGATATGAAGGCTGTCCTCACCGGCCACCGTTGTTGTTGTTGTTGGTCAGTAGCACTTTTTTTGCATAAAACTCGCCGCAGTTGAAGTTTNCTTTTACCTAAATTGAGCCGTTGATATGAAGGCTGTCCTCAGCCGCCACCGTTGTTATTGTTGTTGATCAGTAGCACTTTCTTTGCATAAAACTCTTGCCGCAGTTGAAGTTTTCCTAGCCTGTCATCTCCTCCCCTTTTCAGTGCGTGTCTCACTCTCAATTAACTTGCTGCTAAATTATTAATCTCCACATCACCGAGAGACCTTGCCACATGTTATCCTGCTGTCACCACTACTGGCAGATATTGTTTTTCCATCGCCTTGCTGATCCCAGCAGCCACTGTTTTCTGAGAAAAAGCACTTCCGTGAGATTGATGTTTGTCTGTGCATGATGTGTCCACAAATGGGCATTTACAATTCCAGGCTCGTTCCAATATATGTGCCAGCCCTGGCACATGCTGCCAATGGTAATATGTTGTCTGTAATTTTGTCACTTTTTCTGCGTTAGTATTTTTTGGTCCCGTCCTGCTGGTGGCATCCCACTCTGAACTTTACTTTGTAACTTCTAGGCAGTGCTGCCCACCATTACCCGGGCATAGTGGGCATAAATTCCAATTGCAATCAGCAGCCAGTGATTTGTCCATAGCAATACATGAAATGCACAGACACACACCAACTCAGACAGATACATATGCACGGGGATGCCACAGAGAGAAAGACACTTCTTCTTGGCTGCAGTAGGCGCACAGTAGGAGGAGGGCTGATATTGAATGGAAATGGAAATCGATAGAGCACGCAGTAGTCTGCATGTAGACAGGCAGACAGGCACACACCGTATGACACCGCCATTTGTCAACACTTTTGCAGATGTGCACGATATGTCCGCTGTGTCTGTGTTGTCGGTCGGTGTCTGTCGGTGAGAACATGAAGATCGATCTGATGGCTTTCTCTCCATACTTTGCCGCCAGCATCTGCAGCCTAATGCTCCTGCCAAAGAATACTTACTTTTTTGTGCAAAAAGCTCAAACCAGAACACATATTGACAGGACAAAGTTTTGTGTTGCAACTAAAAAAAGTATTTTCTTTTATCTCAAACCCGTCGTCACACTAAACCTAAGCTGTCAATTAGGTCTGTGCCAGAGCACTGCCAAGTCATCTCTGAAGCAGCACTGATTTATTCATTAGCACTGCCTCTAATGGGCAACTAATTAGTCTAAGCTGGTGACCAGGTGGTGGGGGGTTTCAGTGAGCAGGAGCACAATGTGTTTTGCCGCCACCGTTTAGCAGCAATGTCACGCCTAGTGGCCGATGAGTGCTCTTCACGGTCAGAACACTAGCACTAGTGGTTTCTCCTGTACTGAGATAGTGCCAGTTTGTTCTCTTTCCTCAATGCATAAATCATCCCTTTGCTTGTTGATATCCTCAACTCCTGCTTGCCTGAACTGCTCTATCTGTTGTCCTGTCTTACTCTTTGTTTTCCCATTTGCTTCATTATCTAATCATCACAACACTGTGCTCTTCACTTCCTGACTGCTCGTCATCACTTTTGACATTTACAAGGCTGATCTTTCAAGGTCATCCCTTTCAACCTAACTCTACTGTGCCGACCGTGAGCTAGAACTGAAGTTTGCACGCACACACGCAAACTCATTCATTTATTCGGTTCATTCTACAAAGCCATAATTCCTGTAATTGTCTCATCCGCTCATTGGCTCCCTTTTTAATTGACTGAGCTATTTATATAACTAATACTCGGTAATTAATTGGCGGCAAGAAACAACTCGGAAGAGCAAGTCGAGTAGTCCACTAAACTGGGTCATTTCCTATAACTCTTTTTTTATATTCCAGAACAAGTCACCGGACAACACACACACACACTGACAGCGGTGTTTGTTTAATTGCCATTTTTGTAGCATTAGCGGCAATGCCATGCACTACAGTTTATCAGCGTAATCGGTTTCACCGGATAAGCAGGTGTCTGGTTCCGCACTTTGTTCGTGCTTTCATTTTGTATTCGCCTTTTGGTTCAACTGCAACCAAGTTGCTCATTCAAGTTGAAGTCTCTAAACTTTCTTTTTTCTCTGCAAAAACACGACATTTTCTAATTCTCTGGTAATAATCAATTAACGAATGTGCTTTTTCCGATCAAGAAGCCATCTCAAGAGTGACTAACAAAGCTGTTACACATTTTTTAAATATTGGCTAGATCAAGTGCCTGACAATTTNAATTGAGTCCAATCAAGAAGCCATCTCAAGAGTGACTAACAAAGCTGTTACACATTTTTTAAATATTGGCTAGATCAAGTGCCTGACAATTTTTTTTGATGAAATTCTTGTGTATGTGTGTAAAAATCTAATCGATTGAGCGATTTTTCGTAAGGCAGCACGTTGCAGGTGATTGATCCATTCACGCCAAACCTCATTGAAGGTGATCACATTCACAACACACATAGTCTCAGTGAACCAATTTGTGTTTACTACAATGTGTTTACCAATGATACGGCTGAATGGTACACACAAACTGGAACAACACACTTCACCACTACTACTGTTCCTGCACCATTGACTCGTCGTGTCGTCATTTGGGTTCTAAACAAAAAGCAGTGTGTTCATTCTAGTGTGTTCATGTCACGTTAAAAGGTCACTAACACAGTTGACAAGAGGCACACTGAAAAAAACTGGCGCCGACAGACGGTTGACTTCACTGTAATGCTTTCTTTTGGAATTCCCCACCAAGGTGTGTGTGTGTTTTGTGGTGGCTTGTCCCTGACAGTCAACAGCAGCAACAGCAACAGCCATAATAATAATAATAGTTTGTCTTCGATTGTTGTCGGCTGGTTTCTGGTGATGTCACCCTCACTGGAAGCAATCTACCGGGGCAGTGTGAGTGTGCACTGTATGAACACTACGTACGTGCATTTCCAGTCTACTTTTCATTGTGGCGATCACCGACACCTGAAAGGAAAATGCCTCTACTGTCAACTGCCAATGTTCTTTGATCTTGTTTTGCCTCCAGCGGCGTTCATTGCCAGCAAAATAGACAGGCAATGTTTGGCAGACAGCAACATAGGAGTCCTCCTCGCCTCCTTCTCCTCAACAACCGAGCTCAGCAATTTACAAATGAGTGTCAGGCAGACTGCAGTGCAGTGCTGCCTTCTTTTCTAATGTGTACGCACAATTGATGTTCGCACAATTACGGAAATATTCAATTACACCGGGCGTCAAGTCGAACAAACAACGATCGGTGTAGTCTACCAAAAAGAGAGATGATTGTTAGCGGTGGCAGTGTTTGCTTCTAATGAGAATTGCAACACTTGACTCCTCGGCCTACTGTGCCTCTTTTAATTTGGTCCATTTTTAGTCACTGCTGACTTTCCACTTCTCTGTGTCAGACAAAGACAATGCACATCGTACACACAAGCAGCAAATTGTCATATATGCTTCACTGGTGGTGGTGATGGTAGAAACACAATACCGGGAACTGGAGAAGAGGAGCAATTATGGTGCTGTTTAGAGAGAT